GTGATCAGCATCGTCGTTGTCGTCGTCATCATCATCGTTGATGTCGTCGTTGTCATCATTGTCATCATTATCGTCGTCGTCATCATCATCATCATCACCATCACTCTTATCATTATCATCACTACCATCACCATTACCCTTACCATAACTACCACCACTAGTACCACTACCACTAGAAGGGCCGCAGGATGCCGCCCGCGTCCCCAAACCAGTTCGTCTACATCCACGTGTCATCGTGACCAAGCAAGCTCCAGGCCTTCTCGCGCCCGTGCCAAAGCCTAATTTTTTTTCCATTTCCCGGAAACCCAAACGAAGCGAGGCCGCAGTCGGTTGCATCACGCGACCGGCCTGGAGGAACGTGCATACGTGCAAGGCGTCATGCAGACGGGACACGTTGCCGCGCACCGCCGCTCGCAGCGTTGCCAACGCCAGCGGAAGCGATTCTCTGCGGTTTGGAAGGAATGGTGATGGGTGGTGTCGTAAGAGTGTGGTGTGAAAATGCTGTTTTTCTTTTTTTCTGTCGCTTGTTAATTATTAATGCTGTAGATTAGACATTTCAGTTAGTACTTAATCTATTTCGCTTTAATATCAAACTTAATTTTGATTGCATCTTATCATTCTCCTAATATACAAATTTCACAAATTCACCCTTGTTTTTTTTTCCTCCTCGTTCTCTTCAGTTCACAATGTTTCCTACTTCCTACTTTACTCTTGGCTACCTTGTATCCACCTGCATTCCCGGGCTCACTTTCTACCCCACTACCTGTGCTCTTCCCCCCTCAGGAACCGAAGATTTAAGTTTTCCTTTTGTTATGAAAACCCACCTCGCGTCCCATTTGCTTCTGACCCTGACTTGTCTTGGCGAATCATCACATACTTGGGAAATACTTTCGTTTCGGCGCTTTTGCTTATATCCTGATTCGTTCGCTGCTTTTGATGATATTCGGATACCATTCTAAGACCGTGCTTGTTTTATTAATATTGTTTACAGGAATGTTCCGGATCGTTGACGAAAGGTGGTACGAGGTCACGACACCGTAACCGACTCCTCTCCGCCTCCCCGGCACGCCTCCAGGGGGCGTTCCCGGTGACCCAGCTTTCCCTCTCGTCTCCCGCCCGTTCCCTCCCTCTCGCGCGCTGTCTTCTTATCGATCTGTCCTTTGTTCTCGGTTTCTCTATATCGATCCATGCTCTCTCTCTCTCTCTCTCTCTCTCTCTCTCTCTCTCTCTCTCTCTCTCTCTCTCTCTCTCTCTCTCTCTCTCTCTCTCTCTCTCTCACTCTCTCACACATATATATATATACATATATATATATATATATATATATATATATATATATATATATATATATATATATATATATATACACATGCATATGTATGTATATTATATATATATATATATATATATATATATATATATATATATATATATACACACAACACACACACACACACACACACACACACACACACACACACACATACATACACATATATACACCACATATACATACACACACACCACACACACACACACACACACACACACACACACCACACACACACACACACACACACACACACACACACACACACACGTATGCATGTATGTATCCATATATGTATGTCTATATATACAATATATATATACATATATACATATATATATATATATATATATATATATATATATATGTATACACACACACACACACACACACACACATGTGTGCGTGCGTGTGTGTGTGTTTGTGTATGTATATTCATATATACATATATACATATATATACATACATACATAAATGATACATATATAATATATATATATATATATATATATATATGTATATATATATATGTATATATATATGTATGTATTTATATATATATGTATATATATAATATATATATATATATATATATATATATATATATATATTATATATATATACACATATACATGCATATGTATATATATATATATATATATATATATATATATATATATATATACATATATTTGTATTTAGATCAATGATTATATATATATATATTTATCTATTTATTCATCTATATATATATTTGTATGTAGATCACTGTTTATTATCTCCCAAGCTATCGCCTTCCTTTCTCCATCTGTCTGTCATCAGCCTCTTCCTCTCCACCCTCGCAACAGGACGCCGTGATGGAACAGGCCATTATGTCACGTCCTGCTTGCTTGCTCTCGCTTTCCCTCCCTTTCCCTCCCTTCGCTTGCCTGCTTGTCCGGCTCTCTGGCTCTGTTTGTAGGTGTCTGTCCACACGATACAGTGCTTAGACCTAGTACATTGTTATGTTACTGTGTGTTCGCATGTTTTTTTTTTTTTTTTTTTTTTTTGGGGGGAGGGTAGTGATTTGATGAAATAGTGAAGTAGAGATGATAGTATGAATCGTGATGAAAGATGAATTAAAAATATGATGAGAAAATTATGACAATGCGTGCATATGGGTAATACAAGTATGATAATGATAATGATTGTAATAAGACTGGATTCAGGATGAACAATATATGATAGTCAAATGCAACCAATAATGATGATACTTGATGACCCATAGCGATGAAATGAATGTAGAAAAAATAATATGTAATGAGGAAGATAAATATAATAATTAGATGATGATAATATTGATAATGACTGAATACAGTAAACAATGATACTCGACAAACTAAATAACATTTGCATAATGATAAACAGTGGAAATCAAATAATAATACGATCCTAATAGAACTAACAATATGATAGTAATAGGCATGGTGATGGTAAATGATAATCTGATTCAAGATGATATCAATGACGATAATAACATATCTGAAATAACTAAATTGATAATGTAAATATTGATTATGATAACAAGTGATAAAAGTAATGATAATACTGATAATGATGATAATGTTAATCATAATGATAATGATAATAGTAGTAATAATAATAATGGTGATGATGATGAATACATTAATAGCAATGATAATGATAGAAATGCATACAGAAGATAATAATAATGATAAAAGTGATTTTTTTATAGTAGTAATAATAGAGATGATAATACAGATAATAATGATGATAATAAAATAACAATAAACAAGTTAATGATAGTGATATTACTGATAATGATGATCATAATAATAATAGTGATGATCATGATAATAATGATAATGTTAACAACAAAAACAACTATGGTAATAACATAATTGAGGTATAATAACAAATATGAATAATGCATATAACAACAACAATAATGATGATAATGATAATAACAACAACAATAATGATGATGAATGATATTGTTGCTGATATGATAGTGGCCATAGCGATAATAATGGCAATAACAATGACAATAAAGATGACAATGAAGATAAAGGTAATAAATGCAATACTAAAAACAATGATGTTTATAGATATTATAAACAATCAAAAGTAAAACAGATTTTATGAGTTCATGTACTCTCTTCTGGTAGGATGATGAAATTTTTCGCAATAATTGTTTTGTCTATCAAATTATAATTTACTTGTAACTAACTGAATGACTTCATTTTTCCTGCATGAATTAAACTTCATGCGAAATAAAGGATAACCTTAGCAACGATAGCATTATCTTCAGTTAAATTTTGCGGCTCTCACAAGTACACGTCAGGTAGATGGTTCTTCGTGTATTACTCCGCTTTATCTATATAATTTGTACTTTCCTTCCACAATTGTCAAATGTTTTGCAAATGATTTTGAATTGGTACATTGAATCAGAATGTGACGTATATCTTCTCTCTTAGGATAAAAACTGAGCCATGATATGAGAAATATTGTGCGTAAAAGAGGAACTTGTTTACTTTGCGTAATAGTGTTTACATCATGCGTGCTACGGTTCAGCTGATGCAAGGGGCGAGTTCGGCAGAAGTGATCAGTCATGACAGTCACGTCGGGGAGGTGATATATACCGTCCACCCTTCAGTCCCGGGATTCAGTATCAGTTCTCTCGAGTGTCGCGAGTGGATGAAAACGAGTCATGATGTGGTCGAGGACTTCTGCATGGGTGATTGTCCTTTTGGCAGTGTCTTTTCAGACTTGCACAGCGATTTGGTATGGGGTTAAGAAGAGCCCAAACGGAGATACAACTGCTGGTGAGAGGTGCTTCTGTCAGGTAATTCACTTTCGTTTCGATGTTTCTGGAAATAAGTATTACGCTTACAGAGCCATTGTTGAAAGATAGCAGTGGTATTAGTGGCGCTCGTGGTTCCACAAGTTGCATAAAGGGATGTTACTATTTTTGATCTGTATTGCGTTTCTTTCGTTTGTCATTCTTTCAAGAGTGAAGGTAACCTGACCAGGCTTAAACTTGGTTGACCTAGGCTACGCCTTTACATTATGAATAATTTAGTTAAAACATTGACTTTTGTGCTGTCCATGAAAAAAAGTGAAGACTAGATGTTATACTTTGTTACACACAACATATTCACCTTTCCGAGCCCTCACGAAGGATGATTCTTCCTACCATTTTCTCTCTCTGCATTTGTCTTAGCACCAATACTGTCATCATGATACCTGCTCATTCAACATGCTCATGGAACACGTATTCAGGCTAGACGTGCTGCCTTATAAACTGCTCTCGATACCGCACATCGAATTCCTTCCTTCCTTGATCTTGAGGACAAAAGTGCAAGTCTCTGCTCACGTGATTTGCCATCCCAAGAACTTTAAATCTTCGATCCAGAATCGGGCTCAGTACCACATACAAAAAAACAAACAGCACAAGTGAAAAGTCCAACACCTCTAACAGCCTATGTACTAATGCTCACTATCTCTCCTGGCTCGCCTCTGTGAGCAGTTTTTCAGCTCCTTAATTCTCGCTCTACTCTTGTAGACATGATATCCCATCGCACACCACTCGTTCCTCACCAAACTCTATCGGTGCTGGGTGAGCCATGAGCTCACGCCATCAACATCTCCCCCTCCAACGGACTCCACTTAACTATCACATCTCAGCGTGCCGCCTACCAGTTCATCCCACACCTCCGGAGTTCCAGG